TGCATTCAGGTGGTGGCGCTGCTAAGCTGGAAAGTCCAAAAAAGGAGCTTCGGTCTCATGTTTTTTTCACTGTTGCTGCTCCTCCACATGCTCTCTCTTTCTCTACGTGGTTAGCTTAAGCTTCTTAACAGTATAATGAACCCATGGTAGTTAGACTTCTTATATATGGCAGCTGGCTCTTAATGGGAAGCATACCAAGTGGCAAAGGCTGAATCTTCAGTTATTTAAGGCCTTGTCTCATAAATTTTAAGGCACTGCATCACATTCTGCTTGTCAAATCAAGTCACAGGGCCACCCCAGATTAATAAGGCAGGGAAAATTGTTTCTACCTCTCTCCTGAATGGCAAAGAATTTGTGGTTACCTTCAATTCACAACACCCATTCTGCTTCATGAACAACTGAGTCTAGATCAAAGTAACTAGCCAATCTAAAAGGGAGGCTATTAAACATTTAAAACAAAACAGGCAAACACAGATTTATAATAAATCATTTTCTTAAGATCCCTAAGAATAAATTTAACATAATGTCAGATATTTCCTAAAATGTACAAAAATGGCAGAAACATAACATTTGTATAAGCTCTTGTATAATCAATGTGACCAAACATATTAAAATAAGTAGGCAAGAGAAAAACTAAACAACAACCATCTAGTGCAGCACGCTGCTGGCAATAAATTCTATATTATGGTAATACAAAAGCCTACACATGAAAAATACAAAATACTTAATATAAGACATTAATTCATAAAAATCTTTCAGTTATAGAAATCTGATTTTCTAGTATTATATCTGGAACTATGAGTTTATTTGGCATCATGTTTTTTCTATATCATCTAACAAACTGAAGAGTTGAGTCTCCTTAGAGAAAGGGAGAGAGAGAACAAGAGAGGGCAAAATTTGAATTTTCAGCAATCTTATTAAGTGATATTTTGTGAGAATAAGAGGTCTGAAGAATGTTCCTTTTTTATTTTAACACATCAATATTATTTATTTCAACCGTAAGAATACATTAATTTAGAACATTAATAAACATGTAAAAATGTTTCCAGGCACTTTAGTAAGCTGGAGAGGGTAAAGATAGGAGGGAGGAAGTTGTCCCTCTTCATTCCTTTCTCTAGGCCAGAGGGCTATTGCCCTCCAAATGCAGTCCAGACTGCACCTGGCTATAGAAGGAAATCTACAGGAAGAGACCTGGCTCTTGGCAGCATTCATGCAGTCCTCTCTCAAATACTTTCCAAAGCTGCTTTCTGTTCCTGACTGCATATTTGAGCGCCAAGTTAGTTTACCCAGTTGATGTGTGCATACTCATCTGGTGGCTCAAGAATCATGGGAAATTTTCATGTTTATTTCAAGAGATTTTTACAGCCTGGATTCTTGATGCGTACCAGGGCAGGGTTTGAAGCCTGGAAGATGGTGGCAGTGAGTGCCTTGGGCTTGTGCTCTTGCCAAATGGTGGAGACTAAGCCACCCTTAGGATGTTCCAAGCCAGATCTGTCCTGATAAATTTTATGAGCCTGAGACAATTACTCCCTATGAGTACTTGTCACAGGGAGTACTTGTGTCTGCCTCCAGCATATTCACCTAAGTGTAAAGGAACATTTAAGGGCCACTGAGAGGGCGGAAAGAGAATGAGGAAGGCAACATGCAGGCATAAGCAGGGTGAATGGAGAAGAAAGTGCGGAAAGGCACTGGCACTGATGGGACAGCCCCACAGGTACCTGGAAGCCGGTTAACATGAGCATTAAGATTCTACTTCTTCTATCAGCTGATACTACCCACCTCTTCCTGACTGCTTCCTTTGTGAGTCAGTGCTAAGCTGCTTGTCTCCATCCCCTTTCTCCAAGCTGAGAAGTACCTCCCAAAGCCACTGCTCAGTTCTGGGCACAGTTTTGGCCAGGACATTTCCTGTCTTCCAGCATCTCAGAGCACACTCAGAGGGAATACTAGTGGTTGCCTCATCTAGTTTCCTCCCTGAATCTCTTTGCTGTGAAGTTGTAGGAAGAAAATGAGGGCAGCATCTGCCTAATCATCTCTGATTCCCCACTAGACCTGCCTGGGTCCACTGAAGTCACAAGGGTCCAGCACATGGTGTAAGGGCAAAAGCTTTAGAGTTAGGGAGGTTGGCATGATGGTATAGCACCATCAACCTATTGCTTTATTAGGTTGAGGTAAGTCTTTATCTCCTGGGTCTCTGGCTCTAAAATGCCCATTCACATGTCTGGTCCTTGTGTGTGAGTCATTGAGACAGCCCTGCCCAGTGTCTGCTATAGAAAGTGTGCTCCTAGGAGTAGAACCCTGAGTACTCTTCCTGGATATGAAAGGTGGAGCTGGACACTACCTCTGTCCCAGTAAGGCCCATCCTGTACTCTGAACTGTAAATGGGCACGATGGCCAGAGACCTACTTTCCACATTTCCCATCCCACCCCTTCAATCCTCACACTGAACGTTTATGGAGGAGGTAGTAAACACTGCCAGGTGCTGAAGATAAAATTAAGTGTAAGAGTGGATCCCTGCCTGCCCTCAAGAAACTTCTCTAGCAGCAGGGCTCATAGCACAGGAGAGGCCAAAGACTCATATTCCTCCTCTTTTTTTCTCACTGCCCATCCTTTCACCAGTGTGATCTTCCCGTGTCCCTACTTGGGTCTTGGCCCTGTTTCTCTGCTCTCTCCCGGCCTCCTACTTCCATGGATGATCATTCAGTTCTGTCATAAAGGACTGAATCACTGAATTTCTTTAAAAATTTACTCAGCCAGTTTTATTACATCAGTCATTGTTTCACAATTGAGACTGATTCATGATCAGAGATAAAATACGCCGAACAATTTTTTTTTAAACAGAGTTTCCCTCTTGTTGCCCACGCTGGAGTGCAATGGTGTGATCTTGGCTCACTGCAATCTCTGCCTCCCAGGTTCAAGTGATTCTCCTGCCTCAGCCTCCCAAGTAGCTGGGATCACAGGCGCCTGCCACCACACCTGGCTAATTTTGTATTTTTAGTAGAGATGGGGTTTAGCCATGTTGGTCAGGCTGGTCTTGAACTCCTGACCTCAGGTGATCCACCCACCTCGGCCTCCTAAAGTGCTAGGATTATAGGTATGAGCCACCGTGCCTGGCCTTACACTGAACGACTTGAAGAGTATTTTTTGACACTTTGTGCAGCCATAACTTCTAATTTTTTTTTTTCAGCATCTGCACTCAGAGCTTATTTTACTTGCCAAACATTAATGAAGCCTCTGCTCTGGGCCAGAACTTTTCTAGGCATTAGGAATATAGCAGGTAGCAAAGGCAGTGTTTCTTTGACTTATATATTGTAAAATAGAAGCAGATGATGAGCAAAGTGCTATTCGACATGTTGGTCAGTAGCACAATAAATGGTTATGTAGATAAATGAAGCAGAGTAAAGGGTTAGAAATTGGTGGCAGAGAACAGGGTGCTCTGATAGGTCCGGTGGCCAGAAAAGTTCTCTCTGAAAGCAGCAGGAGAAGGAGTCAGGCAGCCAACTGGGACGACAGTCTTGCAAGGCAGAAGGGATAGAAGGTGCAAAGGCTACAAAGCCAGAACTACTTGACGTGTGTGAGAATCAGCAAGGACAGTGATTAGAGCACAGCAGAAAATGGGAAGAGGCATAGGATAGAAGGAAGGGCTTTGTAGACCTTGGCTGCAACTTTGCTCTTTATTCTGAGGTGAAACTGTTGGATGATTTTGAGCAAGGGAGTGAAGGGATCTAATTTTTGTTTTAAATGATTCCCGTGGCTACTTTATGGATAATATACTATAGGAAGAAAAAAAGCGAAAGCTGAGTGATGAGTTGCAGCATGTGTGAGAAAGAAAGGCTGGGGATCAGGGTGGCAGTGGTAGAAATGGCAAGACATGATTGAATTGGCAATGTATTTGAAAGCAGAGCCAACAATTCATGATGGCTCTAGGATCTGAGATCCATTTAAAGTAGAAAAAGAAAATTATTTAAAAACACACACATCTGGGCCGGGCGCGGTGGCTCACGCCTGTAATCCCAGCACTTTGGGAGGCCGAGGCGGGTGGATCACGAGGTCAAGAGATTGAGACCATCCCGGTCAACATGGTGAAACCCCGTCTCCACTAAAACTACAAAAAATTAGCCGGGCTTGGTGGCGCATGCCTGTAATCCCAGCTACTCAGGAGGCTGAGGCAGGAGAATTGCCTGAACCCAGGAGGCGGAGGTTGCTGTGAGCCGAGGTTGCGCCATTGCACTCCAGCCTGGGTAACAAGAGCGAAACTCCGTCTCACACACACACACACACACACACACACACACACACACCCCTTAACAGTTCATTTTTAAGTAGAGAATAATACCCAGTGGCCAGTGGCACTAGTAGCAGAACAAGAAATAGAGAATAAAATGTGTGGGATGCCTGCAATTGGTTATTGGATGCTGATTTTGCAGAACTTTTTATATCTTGCTATTTAGATTTTTTTTTTAAGGTAGGTATACCATATTATTTCCCAATTAAGTAAGTCACTGTTTAAAATTGCCTTTTTCATGAAAGGCAGGATCCCCTGAGGGTCTTCATGACCCTGAAAGGAAGTGTGACTCCCACAGTGCAGCCAGCAGTGTCAATACTTCGCTAAGTGAGATTTAAACAAGAAAGAAAATGTGTTAATAAAACATCACGACAAGAGAATCCAGTGGCCACAGACCCACGAAGGAACACTGAGTTGTGCGAGTTGGCTAGGTAGAAGAGTGGTTAATTCTTTCAGCTTGAACAAGTGTACCTTCTCTGAGACCGGATTCAGCGCTCGCCAGGTCCTCTGCTAATTCAGGCCCCACATCCAGGAGCTCTGGCAGCCGACCGCAGCCTTTAACTGCCCGCCTAGAGAGCTACCACAAGCCGGTGGTTCAGCGACCGAGTTCATCCTCGTCCTAGCCAAGCCCTCTGTGTCTGCACTCTTCCCATCCCGGCCACGCCCCCACGCTGCGGCGGCCCCTAGGCTGGCCACGCCCCTCCTGCGCCGCGCCGGCGCAGCGTCCGTCCGAATGGCCTCGTGGGCGGGGCTTGCGTAGCCTCCCGGACTCTGGCGCGCACCGCCCCCCGCCCCTGGCCCTCGCGCGCCTCCTTGGACAAGCACTTCCTGCGAGGCCTCCGTACGCACCTTGTCCGAGCCGAGCCGAACCGAGCCGAGCCCTGTCCTTCCAAGCCGTTCGCCATGGTGGATGAGCTGGTGCTGCTGCTTCATGCGCTCCTGATGCGGCACCGCGCCCTGAGCATCGAGAACAGCCAGCTCATGGAACAGCTGCGGCTGCTGGTGTGCGAGAGGGCCAGCCTGCTGCGCCAGGTACGTCCGCCAAGCTGCCCGGTGCCCTTCCCCGAAACGTTTAATGGCGAGAGTTCCCGGCTCCCCGAGTTTATCGTGCAGACGGCGTCTTACATGCTCGTGAACGAGAACCGATTCTGCAACGACGCCATGAAGGTGGCATTCCTAATCAGCCTCCTCACCGGGGAAGCCGAGGAGTGGGTGGTGCCCTACATCGAGATGGATAGTCCCATCCTAGGTGATTACCGGGCCTTCCTCGATGAGATGAAACAGTGCTTTGGCTGGGATGACGACGAAGACGACGATGACGACGAAGAGGATGATTACTAGGCCTTAGACCCTCGGGCCTAGGGGGGAGGGCCCTGCACGCCGCCACCCCCTCCCTCCAACCCTCACCCCGCCGGGAGCCACTGTTCTCCGCCTTGCCCTCTGGTCCCCTTCCCTACTCGCGCCCTTCTGTTCTCTCTCTTCGTTTCTCCGTAGTGCTTGTCTTTGTTCCAGGAATAGTGTTCCATTTACCTGCTCCTGGGGTTGGGGCTGAAGCGTCACTCACTCGGAAGTGCTTGGAAGTGTCATCTACCTTGGCCAGCCCCAGGATCCCTCCCCTGCTAATCCGAACTGTGTCCTGAGCCCCAGTTATTGGCCAGGCCCCTGTTATAAACTGGTCATACCACCCATAGCCCTGCTGCTGCCACCTGCCCTACTGCCAGGCTTATATCTGCCCAGAGAACTATGCTGCCACTTCACATCCACTCACCACATCCACCTATATACTACCGCCTTTCGAAGTAAGGACCAACCTGGAAGATGCCAGAGTTGGCTATACCTCTTCGGACATTGATTTGGACAGCTCACCAACCCATGAAGGGGCCAATCATTCAGCCTGTTAGTTTTCTACCCACTCCGAGGGTCCTCCCCTGCCCCACCAGATTGCTGCAGGGGCTTGGTGTGCCTGGCAGCCAAATTGTTGACATTTCCTTTTTTCCTATGCACTGGTTTTACACAACTGTCACTTTACTTTCAAAATTGCAGCAGTCCCACAGATGTGTGCATTTGGACAAATAATACTAAAAACAAAACAAGCACTCAGCCCAGCTCCTCAGTACTACCTGGAAAAAGCATTGGCATTATTTTCAATAAATATCAAGCACTACAAAAAAAAAAAAAAAGAAATGATTGTCTTTTAATGGTTAAGTGCTGTCACTGGCCTCTACCACTGTCACTTTGTCTATCATTATTCCCGTGGAAATCAGGGAATACAGTCAATCCTAATATTCCCCGCTGTCGTCTCCAGGCTGCTGGCGACAGCTACCTCAGGGCTCTGTCAGTGTTCTGATGTTCCCTTCACCAATGCATTTCATAAAGCCCTGGCAAAGGGTATGTCCTCTGGTTGCTCCAGGATGGCATGGGTAAGGCTTGACTGAGCAGATGGCAAAGAGGCAGTATTAATTAGACCATAACAACAGGCATAAACCTGGAGAGAGACAGAGGAGAGAGAGAGAGAAACAGAGAGAGAGAGAGAGAGAGAGAGATGTAATGCTCCCAATTCTCTGAGCTTTCAGATTTCTTAACACTGTACCAGGGAAGTTCTGCCCTTTAATCCTTATTGCCTATGTGCAGCTGTTGAGTTCAGGCTCCAAATCGCCAACATAGTATATTGCTTTTATGTCACTTTCAGATGCTCCAGCTAACATTAAATCCTGGATCCTGGGCAAGTGCACCCATAAAGATATACCCTGATCTTAACAAATATTTCATCCTCCTTGGGCAGACATCTGTAGAATTCCCACTCATAGATGTGTCCCAGATTCCTGCCTATGAAAATTAACAGGAGATGCTTGGTTATCTCTTAAATCAGACCTTGCACTGCTATGTGGGCTATGCTGAGATCTCTGGGCCTGGAGGGGTCAGAGCAGTGAAGCGGTGCCTGCTAAGAAGAATCTGCATACCTTTGTGAGGCCATTGCCCCAGGTTAAGTCATGAAATGTTTAATGCAGAGCAGCTTGCTTGGGGATTTGTGAGGACTACCTCTGCAAGGCAGAATGGTTTAGGAGGTGGTGAGTGGTTCAGAGCTCTCATTTATATCTGTCCAGATATTCTCATTGTACCATGTGTGAAGCCAACTTGACTTTATAACCTTTAATTAATTTAAATAACACATTTCCTTACTGTGTAAGGCCTTTTGAGGCAGATATTTTATTTGTACTGGTAAACCTCAGTGTTGATTAAATGAGATATGGGTCATCATATTAATTACCTCATAGGTATGGATTAAATGAGATCATATCCATGAAGCATTTAGAACTGTCCCTGCTACATGGTGAGTACTCAGTAAACATGGGCTGTTACTCCTGGGCCTGGGAACTGAAGTCTCAGGAAGCAAGTCTCTGGCTCTGAGCTTGGCTTTAGTAGGAAAATGTCAGTGAGAAGAAGAGCAGAGCAAGTGCAGGGAGAATGGAAATGAGAGCATGATAAGACCCTGTTTACGTTTTGGAGTCTTATATGAAGCAAGAAACAAAGCTGTTTTACCTGGTGAACAGGCAAAGTTCAGGGTAGGAGTTGTCTCACACCTAGGATAGCTGTTTCTGGAGGGCAGGGACAGGGTTGGGCATGACTTAGTAATAAGAGGCCAAGGCCTTGGGTGGAAATGAGATCTGGGGGCTCTTCAGGGAGCTGCTGCCTCCAAATCTGAATCAAGGAGACACCTGGTTATTTATAATGTGTTAATCACTTCTCCCAGTCTGCTTGGAAAATATACAAAAACCCTTGGAAGAGTGAAAGATTATATTTGAGACATAATATGTCTGAGGCCAGATAATTACACTTTATTCTTGACTAGAAAGGCCTTGAATTGGGGATAAATGTGGAAAAGTGAGCAACAGCCAAAAGGTAAAGGATCCAGTGTGACCAAAAATCATTTATTCCAAACTGATTATGGCCTGGTTATGCTGATTGGAGTTACAGAAACATCATTGAATAAAATGTGGACTCTGCCTTCATAATGAGTCCAGTCTGCTGCTTTTACTGTGCTTTGGGCCGGAACTTCGATGATTAGTTACAGAGAAGGGCCGGGAAGAGAATCTGGGCTGTGATTAGATCTGGGAGTGACCTTTCTGGGGTGGAAGTTGAGGACAGATGAGTTCAGTGTTCTGTGGAGGAAGGGAGGGTCAGTAAGGATGCCATGCCAAGGCAGCATCTGAGTGGCATCTGGGAGAACTAGGCCAAGGAGCTTCTGTGATCCAAAATGTGCATTTCCTGAGTATGTGTGCATGTGCACATGAGCTTGCTGTGACTCTGTGTGTGTGTGTGTGTGTGTGTGTGTGTGTGTGTGTATGTGTATGTGTGTATGTTTGTGTGTGTTAGGTGATGTCCTTCTTGCATAACGGACGAACAGGTTATGCTGTGAGATGCAGAAAAGGAAAATGTGAGACTCTGGTTACCTTGGGGGCAGATTCTGTAATAAAAGTACAGATATTGGCAAGGGCTCCACCACCCAGGGAGGAATTCATGATAATGGTATAAAGCATTGCAAAAAAGGAAAAAGTAGAAGTATGTCTAAGAATAAAAGCACCATTTCGATCAAAAGTATTAAAAATTGGTAGGAATGCTGAACAAATATGAACTTCAGACTCCTGAATTCTCATTTTGGGCATAATAGACTTGAAATGGCCAATGAAATTATGCTCTCAGTGAGATGAAATTAGTCATATTAAAGGTCATAATCATTTAATCATCTTATATATACCAATATATCTTTGGATTTTTCTATTCATTTGAATAGATAAGCACTGCCATGTATTATGTCTGTGTTGCTGTTATCTTGCAGAATGGTATATAAAGCTAGAGTACTTTATGCACATGTATATTTGATTATTTCCTGCTATTAAAACATAGCTAAAACCTCATTAATTTGGATGTAGGCAGACTAGAGGGAAAAGTCTTGTTGAAATTAGTGGTATATTTGCATTTTCAAAATGCGTTTAAATAGTTTTCTAGGACTTTTTTTTTCTTTTTTTTTGAGACGGAGTCTCACTCTGTCGCCCAGGTTGGAGTGCAGTGGCACAATCTCAGATCACTGCAACCTCTGTCTCCTGGGTTCAAGCGATTCTCCTGCCTCATCCTCCCAAGTAGCTTGGATTAACAGGTGCCCACCACTACTCCCAGCTGATTTTGGTATTTTTAATAGAGATGGGTTTTCGCCATGTTGGCCAGGCTGACCGCGAACTCCCGCTCAGGTGATCCGCCTGCCTTGGCTTCTCAATGTGCTGGGATGGCAGGCGTAAGCCACTGCACCTGGCCTCTAGGTGCTCAAAATATGTAAAGCAAAGCTAATAAAGCTACTTTAATTCAAGGTCCTGAGAATGTTTTCCTCGATGGTAAGGGTGGGATAATTATATGAAGAATGTTTATCATTTGCTTTGAAATATGGATTTTGCTAAGTCAGGGTTAAGTGTCTGGCAGCAGTTTGCACTACTGAATAGGTCAAGCATATTCCCTACAGTCTTAGCCCACTCAGTTCTAAAGGTAGGTACAATGGTGTCCTTTGACAGTGTTGGTAACCTCCTATCTTCCTTAATGAAAATCTGATTAACTACCTTGCATTTTTTTCTCTTGCCTAAAATGCTTGTTAAAATTTGTTCCTTTGTCTTCAAATGTTCTATTGTCCCAAGAACATTTGTCTTCAAATGTTCTGTCATCCATATAATGTTCTATTGTCTTCTTTTCTTTTTTTAACCTTGGGATAGATTGAAGGAATTGCTTGCTTGAAGGAATTATGAACACCATAGCAGGCTTGTTAATGGAGCAAAAACCTTCCCGTGGATGACTTGGGAAGAGGAGTGGTGTATTAATCTCATCCCCAAAGAAATACTTGGGACTGTGTAATTTACAGAGAAAAGAAGTTTAATTGCCTCATGGTTTCCCAGGCTGTACAGGAAGCATGATGACTTCTGGGGAGACCTCAGGAAACTTCCAGTCATGGGGGAAGGCTAAGGGGAAGCAGGCACGTCTTACATGGCGAGCAGCAGGAAGACAGAATGAGGTAGTAGGTGCTATACACTTATTAAATAACCACATCTCCTGATAACTCACTCATTATGCAGCCAAGGGGGAGGATATGAAACCATTCATGAGAAGCTGCCCCCTTGATCCAGTCATCTCCCACCAGGCCTCACCTACAGCATTGGGGTTATAGTTCAACATGATATTTGAGTTGGGACACAGAAGCAAATCATATAAAATGCAGACATGCTGAAAAGGGTGTTTCAGAATAGCTAGATATAGCAACATTTTTGAACCTCCCTTTTCCACCTCAGAGGCTGGTATCTGACATATGGTCAGTAATATATTATATTTCTTATTATTCTAGCCACAAAATTTACATACCTACTCTCTTCTCTCTAAATGACCAAGGATTTCATCAGCAAAAGTACAATAATTCTTACATTTTAGCCAAAGTTCCTATACATTCAGTTTAACTGAATTGACTAGTCCAGAATCAGTCAGTTCAAGATAAAAGACTGTTGCCAGGGCTGTTTTTATATGCCCCACGTTAAAGCTTTAGATTTAAAACAAATAACATCTGTAAAAAGAAAGTAAAGGGAATTACATTTCAATGGTAACTAAAGTAATTGTGATGTTTCAGATTTATGTGTTCTCTAGTCACAGATAATTGTACTGCCATATAGAATTTTTAGAAACTGCTTATTTGAATGTATACAGTAAAAATTTTAACACATACAAAAGTAGAGAGAATACTATAATGAACCCCCATAGACTCCTGGATTCAAAAATTATCAACATTTTTGCTTCATTTATCCCTTAAATTTCTTGTAATTTTTATGACATACTTTGAGGCCAATCCCAGGTGTCACTTTAATTCACGCTTTAATACTTCAGTAAGTTTCTCTAATGGATGAGGCCTTAAAAAACATAATCCACCATATCATTAACAGACCTAACAAAATCAACAGTCTTCTCAATATTTTATATTCAATGCAGAGTCAAATATCCCAGTATCTTAAAAAATGTCTTTTTAATTGTTTACTTGAATTAATTTCCTTACAATGTTAGCACATTGAATTTGATCTATATATTTCTTAACCTTCATTTAATTAATAACAATTTCTCCCACCCTTTTTTTCCCTGTAATTTATTCTTTGAGGAAACC